CCTCGTCGTCGTAGCTCGCCGCCGCTTCCCGCCTCGCCCTCGACTACGCTAAAGTTCGCTGCTGCCGCTCTCCGCCTCGCCCTCGAGTTCACCGCCGCCGCCTCCCCACCCGACCTTCGAGTTCAACCTCCCCCCTACCCTTGAGTTCAGCCTCCAATGCTCCACTTTGAATTCGGCCACCTCGATCTCATCGATTCCCTTCTCTTAAATAATTTGAAAGAAAAAAAACATCCACTGCAATTTATCTACCTCATCAAGAAGCTCAGTCCGTCCCTTTCCTGCTTCAACTGTAGCTAAAGCCTTCTCATGCCAACCATGTTGAATAAGTCAAGAAATATGATCTTCAGCATCTCTAGAGAGAACAAATATGTTAAGATTTTTATCAAACCAAATATATAGTTCTACAAGTTCCCTAGTCTGTAGACTATAATACAATTAGAAATAACACGCCAAAGGGGATCTAAATTTTCATCTTTTAATTGAATCTGCGCTCATTTTCGTAAAATTTTGGTTCTTGTACGCATTGGCTATTAATGTATAAAAAAGCATGAAAATTTCTGAAGCGATCAAGGATGTGGAAGTGAACGAGAAGGCGTTAAAGCTAGAACTAACACGCGGTGTGTTAGAACTAACACGCGGTGTGTTAGAACTAACACGCCGTGGGTTAGAACTAACATGCCGCGTGTTAGAACTATAGCGAAAACAACATTGTAACATACCTAAAAAACATCAGAACTAACATCATAGCTCACAGAACTAACATCAGAGGTCACAGAACTAACATCATAGCTTACAGAACTAAAATCATTTTACACAGTGTAGTTCGAATCTGGAAAAACTCAAAAAAAAAATCAAAGTTGTAGGTCTCTTCAACAGATTTTCAACGCATCTCAAATCACCTCATTCCGAGATCGGATGAGAAAGTTATAATCAAAATACATATTATATGAATAATTTGAATCCGTAATTTGAATATATCATGATAAATGATAATAACTATGTGATATGGTTATAAATAACATTTATCGACGTTTGAGTATGCTAAGAATTGATTTAGGATCAATTTAATATATCTATATGTGCCTAAATCTGGAAAAACTCAAAAGACCAAAGTTGTAGGTCTCTTCAACAGCTTTCTAACGCATCTCAAATCACCTCATTCCGAGATCAGACGAAGAACTTATGGCGAAAATAACATTGTAAACATAATATGGGAGCTCACAGAACTAACATGAGAGATCATAGAACTAACATAGGAGCTCACAGAACTAAAATTATTTTACACAGCTGTAGTTCGAATCTAATCTAAAAAAACTCAAAAGACCAAAGTTGTAGGTCTCTTCAACAGCTTTTCAACGCATCTCAAATCACCTTATTTCGAGATCGGATGAGAAAGTTATAACCAAAATACAGATCATATGAATAATTTGAATCCGTAATTTGAATATATCATGATAAATTATAATAAATATGTGAGGTAAATTTGAATATATCATGATAAATGATAATAACTATGTGATATGGTTATAAATAACATTTATCGATGTTTGAGTATGCTAGGAATTGATTTGGGATCAATTTAGTATATATATTTGCGTGAATCTGGAAAAACTCAAAAGATCAAAGTTGTAGATCTTTTCAACAGCTTTGTAACGCATCTTAAATCACCTCATTCCGAGATCGGACGGAGAAATTATAGCGAAAATAACATTGTAAATATAACATGGGAGCTCACAGAACTAACATGAGAGTGTTTGTGGGAAATTTTGTAATAAAAAGAATATAAGGAAAGAATTGCGTTTGATTTTATTCTCTCTAACTGCTTAGAAAAAGAATGATTACAACTCTCTCAACTCTCGATTACAATTTGAATTCCTGGTTACAAAAGAGAAGAGAATGATCTGGATTCTCCCCTTTGTTTAATTCTGGGTTCTTCACGGTAGCGATGAGATGCCTCCCTCGAATGCTTGCGTCGAGTTTGCTTCCCGTTGACGATCCGAATATCTATACTTCACTGGAACAACTGTCTTGGCCGGTTGATAACTCTTGTCGAGTTTTGTGATTCAGAACAAGTAACAAACTCTAATGATAGAGTTGTTGGAACCGAAAAGAATTCGGTTGATAAGCCAAATATCGATGGTTTAGAGATCCTCCGTTTGTTGATTTCCCAGACTGTGTAAGGAGTCAATCCTCCTTTTTCTGATTCTGGAAGATTTGATCGAAAGATCCCCCTCCGATTAATGAAAAGAAATCTCTCTTGATCTGATTATCAAAAATCCAATCTCCCCCAATCCAAAAAGAGATCCCTTTCTCTGTTGAGTTTGTTGCTATTTATAGGGGGATTAGGGGTGTAACTGCCCCCATAATCCGCGCCTAAATGGGGGTTTAGTTACCCCATTAGTCGGGTGTAACAACCCACTAAAGCCACTCCTCAAATCGTGGGTGAAGAACAGCTTCGAAGTTGTTACGATCACGTTTGAATGAGTCAGAACCTTGACCTGCGTTCTGGCGGTGATTGAGCTGCGTTTGGCAGCGACTGACGGGCTGCGTTGGGCAGTGATGGATGAGTTGCGTCGGCAGCGGTTGATAAGCTGCGTTGGGCAGCGGTTGATAAGCTGCGTTGGGCAGCGGTTGATAAGCTGCGTTGGGCAGCGGTTGATAAGCTGCGTTGGGCAGCGGTTGATAAGCTGCGTTGGGCAGCGGTTGATAAGCTGCGTTGGGCAGCGGTTGATAAGCTGCGTTGGGCAGCGGTTGATAAGCTGCGTTGGGCAGCGGTTGATAAGCTGCGTTGGGCAGCGGTTGATAAGCTGCGTTGGGCAGCGGTTGATAAGCTGCGTTGGGCAGCGGTTGATAAGCTGCGTTGGGCAGCGGTTGATAAGCTGCGTTGGGCAGCGGTTGATAAGCTGCGTTGGGCAGCGGTTGATAAGCTGCGTTGGGCAGCGGTTGATAAGCTGCGTTGGGCAGCGGTTGATAAGCTGCGTTGGGCAGCGGTTGATAAGCTGCGTTGGGCAGCGGTTGATAAGCTGCGTTGGGCAGCGGTTGATAAGCTGCGTTGGGCAGCGGTTGATAAGCTGCGTTGGGCAGCGGTTGATAAGCTGCGTTGGGCAGCGGTTGATAAGCTGCGTTGGGCAGCGGTTGATAAGCTGCGTTGGGCAGCGGTTGATAAGCTGCGTTGGGCAGCGGTTGATAAGCTGCGTTGGGCAGCGGTTGATAAGCTGCGTTGGGCAGCGGTTGATAAGCTGCGTTGGGCAGCGGTTGATAAGCTGCGTTGGGCAGCGGTTGATAAGCTGCGTTGGGCAGCGGTTGATAAGCTGCGTTGGGCAGCGGTTGATAAGCTGCGTTGGGCAGCGGTTGATAAGCTGCGTTGGGCAGCGGTTGATAAGCTGCGTTGGGCAGCGGTTGATAAGCTGCGTTGGGCAGCGGTTGATAAGCTGCGTTGGGCAGCGGTTGATAAGCTGCGTTGGGCAGCGGTTGATAAGCTGCGTTGGGCAGCGGTTGATAAGCTGCGTTGGGCAGCGGTTGATAAGCTGCGTTGGGCAGCGGTTGATAAGCTGCGTTGGGCAGCGGTTGATAAGCTGCGTTGGGCAGCGGTTGATAAGCTGCGTTGGGCAGCGGTTGATAAGCTGCGTTGGGCAGCGGTTGATAAGCTGCGTTGGGCAGCGGTTGATAAGCTGCGTTGGGCAGCGGTTGATAAGCTGCGTTGGGCAGCGGTTGATAAGCTGCGTTGGGCAGCGGTTGATAAGCTGCGTTGGGCAGCGGTTGATAAGCTGCGTTGGGCAGCGGTTGATAAGCTGCGTTGGGCAGCGGTTGATAAGCTGCGTTGGGCAGCGGTTGATAAGCTGCGTTGGACAGCGGTTGATAAGCTGCGTTGGGTAGCGGTTGATAAGCTGCGTTGGGCAGCGGTTGATAAGCTGCGTTGGGCAGCGGTTGATAAGCTGCGTTGGGCAGCGGTTGATAAGCTGCGTTGGGCAGCGGTTGATAAGCTGCGTTGGGCAGCGGTTGATAAGCTGCGTTGGGCAGCGGTTGATAAGCTGCGTTGGGCAGCGGTTGATAAGCTGCGTTGGGCAGCGGTTGATAAGCTGCGTTGGGCAGCGATTGATAAGCTGCGTTGGGCAGCGATGGAGCTGCGTTCGAGCTGTGCTTGGCAGCGATTGGAGCTGCGTTCGAGCTGTGCTTGGCAGCGATTGGAGCTGCGTTCTAGCTGTTGATTGTTGTAGTATTTAGATTTCTCTGTCTTTATATATGGATGACACCAAAGACCAGTAAAGAAGGTCTTATTCAGGCCATTTGTGACAATTGAGGCATCTCAATAACGCTCTATCAACTGCA